AGATGCTTCAGAGTAGAACCTTACCAGTTTTTCCAGTTAAAGCACTGAAGCTTGACACCATTTGGCATGGACAGCACTAGGAGATTATATGAATCACACCTTTGTGATTAGCGTGAACAGCTGTGCTGATGATTATCTCAACTGTACAGTGTAGCTGCAAAATCCACAACTAGGGCTGACCAGACTATGAAGATTGCTGCGTAGGAAATGAAGGCAGGAGTGGATATTTTAGCACTGAACTGGCAAGGAGCAGAGAAACTTTCAAACATTTTGCTTATCCTTAATTTTTATTTTTCCTGTATTAACCCCCACAGTTTGTTCTGATGCCCTAATCTGTAAGGCATCTTCTCCTTCTCTGGTCTCAGGATAATTTTGTTCCCACAACCTACATTACAAAAGTATTTTGGACCAGACAGGCTAGAACCCTTGTGACAGATTTCCAATTTTGCTTAATTATAGAAGCACAGAGGACTCTATGTACTGTGTATTAAATACATACAGAGGGGTAGCCATATTAGTCTATAACTTTAAAGAAACAATGAGTAATCCTGTAGCTCCTTCTATACTAGATGTATATTTTGTTAGTCTCCAAGGCTACATCTACACTGGCATGATTTTCCGGAAATGCTTACAACGGAACAGTTTTCCGTTATAAGTATTTCTGGAAGAAGTGCGTCTACATTGGCAGGATGCTTTTCCGGAAAAGCACTTTTTCCGGAAAAGCGTCCATGCCAATGTGGACGTGCTTTTCCGCAAAAAAGCCCCTATCGTCATTTTCGCGATTGGGGCTTTTTTGCGGAAAAGAAATCTGCGCTGTCTACACTGGCCCTTTTCCAAAACAGTTTTCCGGAAAAGGACTTTTGCCCAAACAGGAGCAGCATAGTTTTTCCGGAAAAGCACTGATGATTTTACAGTTGATTGTCAGTGCTTTTCTGGAAATTCAAGGGGCCAGTGTAGACAGCTGGCAAGTTATTCTGGAAAAGCGGCTGATTTTCCGGAATAAGTAGCCAGTGTAGACACAGCCCAAGGGTACTAGCGTTATTTTGAAATAACTTAGTCTGTGTCTACACAGCAGGCAGTTATTTGAAAATACTGTTGAAATACTGTCAAGCTGGAGGATTTCTTACTCTGACTCCTATAACCCTCATTGTACGAGGAATAAGGGAAGTCAGAGGAAGAGTGCTTTATTTTGAAATAAGTGCTGGGTGAACGCTCCCAATTTTGAAATAAGCTATTTCAAAATAAGCTACACAATTGACATAGCTCAATTTGCATGGCTTATTTTGAATTAAGCTCTGCTGTGTAGACACACCTTAAGGTAATACAAGACTACTAGTTTCTTTAAATTTACAGTCTTCTTGTGACCTGAAGTATTTTGTCCAAATGGTAAATATTAACAGGTTACCTTCTTGTCCCTGCTCCAGCTTAGCTCAGCTCAGTTAAGTTGCTCCCCTCATCACTCTTCTCTCTCCCCTGGTTCATCTCCACAGGGCTTTAGGTTCCTTGTTGCGTATATATCTAGCAATCTCCTGGAGAGTCATGAGACCGAGCGTGAGAGAATGTTAGTTCTCACTGAGCATTGAAATATCATTTTAAAATTCAAAAGCAGGTTGAGGACCTTTTACTAAGAAACACCCTGCCACTGGTCCGGTCCCATTACAGCGAGGAGGCTGTTGGCTTGGATGTCTTGGGCGGCTATAGCTATTAGTTTATCATATGAGAAGGTCTTCGACAGACAGGATCCAAACTTTTTAGGAGTTCACAGATCAAAGCTAATAGCATCAACTCAGAAGTCACTCTGCAGCCAGCGCGAACATGTGATGTAATCTTAGCAGGAAACATTAAGCTAATTTTTAATAGCTTGTCTGGAAATGGATGACAAGAGAGACATCTCCTTGCGGATGTACAGCCATTCGTTCAAACTAAACAGGCTAAAACAGAGTTCTTAATCTTCCTTCCCATTACCATGAACACCACCATTCCACCAGACACTCAGCCCCATAACCTGGATCATCTTTGACTCAAACCTCTTGCTAGGTCCTCACACCCAGACTATGTCTAAGTCTTGCAGATTTTTTCTGGATGATGTCTCTAAGGTAGGGGTGGGCAAAAGGGCCTCCGTGGGCTGCATCTAGCCCACCAAGTGGGTTGATCCGGCCTTTGGAGGCCCTGCTGCTCCCCCGTCCCCATGCCAATCAAGGCCTAGGGAAAGGGGAGCACGTAGTACTTAGAGTCAAGAGCCCTGCGCACCCAAGGGCAGGGAGCAAGAGACATCACCCTCTCCTTCACCACCCTGGTCAGTCAGGGCTTGGGGGGCGGGGGAGAGTGCGCAAAGTCTCCTCCTGCCCTGCTCCCATCCTTCATGGAGCACACCGTGTGCTCCTTGCAGGAATGGGGCAGGGCAGGAGGAGACTTCGCATGCTTCCCCCACCCCTAGTCTCTTATTGGCCTGGGAGCAGGGTAAGTGCACAAAGTTTCCTCCCGCCTTGCAAGGGGCATGGTGCTTCTAAGTGCTGCATGCTCCTTGCAAGACGGGGGCAGGGCAGGAGGAGACTTTTCATATTCCCCCTGCCTCCAAGCACTGATTGGCCCGGGAGCAGAGGGGAGCGTGAGAAGTCTCCTCCCACCATCAGGGGAATGGGAAACTAGAGGGAATCGCCAGCTGTTCAGAACAGCTGGTGGTTCTCTCTGAGGGAGGGGCGGTAGGGGCAAAGACTTCATGCACTCCCTCACCCTTCAGACCAATCAGGGTCTGTGGGTGGGGAAGCAGTGAAGTGTCCTGGCCCCACCCCTACCTGGGTGGCCTGGGGCCACTTCAAAAGTTTCTGAAGTGGCCTCTGGTCAAAAATTATTGTCCACTCCTGCTCTAAGGCTACATCTACACTACAGTGGGACTGATGCTCTGAGATGGATCAACTGTGGTTGATTTAGCAGGTCTAGTGAAGACCATAGTTCCCTGCCCACCTCCTCTGGAGAGCCACATAAGGTGGCTGCTCCGGTGGGCGGGGCCAGCTGAGACAGCATGGTGAGGGAGCTGCGGGGGTGGGGAGCTGGGACCTGTCACAGCTGCATGGCAGTGGGGGAGAGGCCTGTTCTGGTGGCCAGGGCTGCCAAGTGGTGGTGGGGGGGTCGGGGCCTGTTCTGGTGGGAGGGGCTGGGAAAGGGAACTGCCAAATGGGCTTGCGGGGGGCGGGGTCTGCTCTGGCAGCTGGGAACGGGACATGCTGCATGGTGGGGAAGGAGGGTGGTTTCTGCTTCGGCAGCTGGGAACGTGTGTCAATAAATTGGGTGCCACAGTGGCACACATCCAAACCAGTGCACACGATCTCAATATTGGGGCACAAGCCAACACTCACTCCCATCATGGTTGGAAAATCTTGGAGGGAACACTGATGAAGACCCGTCAAATTGATCACAGATTGCTCTGCAGTTGACCCCTGTACTTTACCCCAGACAAGGAAAACAAGGTAAGTTGACAGGAGAGCTTCTCCTGTCGACTCCAACGGTGTAGACCTCCTGGTAATTTGATCTAAGGTAAGTCAACTCCAACATTACTCATGCAGCTGAAGTTGTGTACCTTAGGTCAGCTTTCTGTTGTAGTGTATACATAGACTAAGATCCAGCCTTTTCTGTCAAGCCATACCGCTAAAACTCTTGTCTAAGCTTTCCTCATCTTGTATCTCAATTACTGAAGCATACTTCAATCTTTTTCTCTAACCTTGGCAAATGCAATCTTGCCTCACTGATATCCTTTTGGAAAACTTCTGGAAAGGTAATTTTCCTAGCCTGCCACTTTGACCATGTCACCCCATCTTTGCATCCCGTTACTGGTTCCTCCTCCTTTAATGCATCAAACTTAAGCTGTTCATTTTCACTTTCAGGACCTTTTACAACCTATCCTCTTCCTAGCTATCAACTCTGAAGAGTCAGCTCCAATCTGCAACTGGTCCACAACATCAGCCACTATCATTCACTGGTTAAAAATTTCTAACAAGTACCTTGTATCTCCCATGCTTCCTTCTAAACATGGAAGAAGCTCTTGGTAAGCGTCTGCAAAACTACCTCATCAGCCTTCTTCAAAATTCTCCCTCAACACTCTACGTTGCTGTGAGGCCTCCAAAAACTTGACAATGGTTAGACTATTGGTGTGCTAAAAGCTCTGACTATTATACTGACCAATTGTCTCTCTATTCCTTGTATTCCCAACTTAGTGTCTATCTGTCTGTGTCTCACCTTGGACTGTATGCTTGCTAGAGCAGTGACCATCTTCTTATTCTGTACAGTGGGTAGCACTATGGGTCCCTGGTCTAGGACGGGGGCTCCTGGGTTCTACAATAATACAGATAATCTCCAGAGGGGTAGCTGAGTTAGTCTGTAACAGGAAAAACTTAAAAAACCACCAATAGTCTGGTAGCACCTTAAAGACTAACAAAACATGGAGATGGTATCATGAGCTTTCGTGGGCACAGCCCCCTTCTTCAGGTGATGATAATGAGATGCCAGAAAGAAATCTTGATAACTGTTGCTACCACAGTATCAAGGAACAAATCGCATCTTAGGCCAGCATTAGACTTGGGCCACCATCCCAAGATTTGCCATCTTCTTCAAACCCATTTCCTTTGATAGTCATTCTGTGCTGTGTGTTTCCCCCCATTACTGCAAGTATGTGTGTGAACTGAAGCTTTCACTTTCCTAATCTCCTGCCTGACTCATCCAGGAAGTGACAGTGTGTTGCAGGGGCAATATATGCATTCAAGGGTTTGGTGCTCATTTGTATTGATGCCAGCAATTGGGCCATGAAGTGGCAGTGTCTGCGGAAGCTAAAGTGAGTTTCCCCTTTCTGAAGGTATTTTTAAGGAAGATCCACTTCCTTCTTCCAGTCATGGAATTGTGCCCTGATATCCCTACATTACACACACAGAGTTGAGCAAGGAAGACATTTTCTAACTGCCAAGAAAAACAAAGGCAGGAAATGTGAACAGCTTGTATCTACCTGTTACCTCATCCTGGGCTGCCCAACAGTGTCACTGCATTCCTGGTTTCTCCTTGCTGTCTGCAGAATAGATTAAAAAGTCTGATGAGAATCAATAGTAAGAGATACTAATGGAAAGCAGGCAGCAGCAGTAGCTCCAAGGGGCAAAAGGAAAAATCTATGCTATTTCTATAAAAAGTGATGTTCTTTAAGGTTTAAAAAAACCCAGGTTTTAATATTTTACCAGTAGCCTCAAAATGGCCTGTATATAAACTCAAGGGTATGTGTGCTTTAGATAATGGAGATAGGATTGGGTATAACACATGATCCCCTAGAAAAATATAATCAAAGTAGACCTTCCAATTTGAAAAACACCTCTGCTGACGTTGTAATGTGCCCCCTTTCTGCCCAAGGTTCATCTACTGCATGAGTTTCCTCCTCCTCCTGCAGTCTTCAAGCCAGTTCTTCATCCTGCAGGAACTGCTTCTGATTCCCAACGTCTAGTTCTGCCATCTGCCAGGTGAGAGGGTTAGTGCTGCCAGGCTGCCGGGGATTCCCATCTGAACAGAACGGCAAAAATCACAAGTATCACACATGACTGAAGGAGACCTGGTGTGGGTCCATCAGAAAGCAGAGTTGGTAATAAAGCTACTGTTAACAGCAATCCCAAGACTTCCCAACCTTAGCATACTGGCTCACAGAGTAATCAACAATGACAACACTGGGGAAGGGTCCCAAAGAGAAGTAAAACATAAGAACGGCCAGACTGGGTCAGACCAACGGTCCATCCAGCCCAGCGTCCTGTCTGCCAATAGTGGCCAATGCCAGATGTCCCAGAGGGAGTGAACAGAACAGGTAATGATCAAGCGACCTCTCTCCTGCCATCCAACTCCACCCTCTGACAAGCAGAGGCTAGGGACACCATTACTTACCCATACTGGCTAATAGCCATTGATGGACTTAACCTCCATGAATTCATCTAGTTCTCTTTTAAACCCTGTTATAGTCCTAGCCTTCACAGCCTCCTCAGGCAAGGAGTTCCACAGGTTGACTGTGTGCTGTGTGAAGAAGAACTTCCTTTTATTTATTTTTTAAACCTGCTGCCCATTAATTTCAGTTGGTGGTCCCTAGTTCTTATATTATGGGAACAAGTAAATAACTTTTCCTTATTCACTTTCTCCGCACCACTCATGATTTTATAGACATCTATCATATCCCCAATTAGTCTCCTCTTTTCCAAGCTGAAAAGTCCTAGTCTCTTTAGTCTCTCCTTATAGGGCACCCGTTCCAAACCCCTAATCATTTTAGTTGCTCTTCTCTTTCTGAATCTTTTCTAATGCCAGTATATCTTTTTTGAGATGAGACCACATCTGTACACAGTATTCAGGATGTGGGCGTACCATGGATTTATAGAAGGGAAATAAGATATTCTCCGTCTTATGCTCTCTCACTTTTTTAATGATTCCTAACATCCTGTTTGCTATTTTGACTGCTGCTGCTCACTGCGTGGACATCTTCAGAGAACTATCCATGATGACTCCAAGATCTCTCTCCTGATTAGTTGTAGCATTAGCCCCCATCATCTTGTACATATAGTTGGGGTTATTTTTCCCGATGTGCATTACTTTACATTTATCCAAATTAAATTTCATCTGCCATTTTGTTGCCCAATCACTTAGTTTTGTGAGATCTTTTTGAAGTTCTTCACAGTCTGCTTTGGTCTTAAACACAAGTCAACCAGCCTTAGGAAAAATTCTCCCTTCCAAAACACACACTGTATTTGGCTTGGTCGTAGCATCCTTTGACTCTCTCAAAAGTTTTTATAGACATGCAAAATAGAACTGACCATCACACAAGAAGAGCAGAGAGAAGCAGGGATGGTTTACTTGTTCCTGTAATTAAAGAAAAGGAAAAACTGGTTACTTACCACATCTCGTTCTTCAAGATGTGTTGCTTATGTTCATTCCACATAGGTGTGCGTGCGCCACATATATGAGTTCCAGAAGCTTTTTCCTCTTAGCAGTACCCATCGGGCCAGCTGGGGAGCCCCCTGGAGTGGCGTCGGCATATCAGCGCATATCAGCCCCCTGCTGGCCCTCCACTCCCTCAGTTCCTTCTTGCTGGAGGTGGGTAGGATTTGGAAAGGACATGAGCAACACATCTCGAAGAACAACAGTTATGAGGTAAGTAACCGTTTTGTCTTCTTCGAGTGCCTGCTCATGTCTATTCCTCACATGGGAGGGGTTGGAACCTAGGAACAAATAGATTGCAACACCCCTCTGCCAACAGCTGCATCTTGTCTAGCCTGCTGCGTGATCACATAGTGGCTAGTGAAGGTATTGACCGATGACTAGGTAGCTGTCCTACTGATGTTGAGGATTGGCATCTGTGATGTTGAGGATTGGCATCTGTGCTAGAAGGGCTGCAGAGGAGGCCTGAGCTTTGGTAGAATGGGCCGTGATGGGAGGGTTTGGTTCCCCCCTTGGTCATAGCCTTAATACATGCTGTGATCTATGAGGACAGACACTGAGCTGACAGCGGGAAGCCCTTCATCCTCTCTGCTATGGAAACGAGAAGCTGCGTGGAGCTACACAACTGCTTTGTACTCTTTAAATGAAATGCGAGAGCTCTCCTCACATGCAATGAGAGGCATGCCTGCTCCTTCCGCACTGCACAAGGCTTAGGGGAGAAGACAGGCAGGAAAGTGTTCCGGAACACATGGAATGAGGACACTGGCAGGGTCACCTTGTCCTTCAAGAATACCGTGTATAAAAGGGCCCTCAGCTCGGACACCTTTCTGGCAGAGGTAATAGCCACAAGGAAAGCCACTTTCCATGGGAGATGAGAGAGGGAGCATGTGGCTATTGGCTCAAACAGGGGGCACATGAAGCCCTGGAGCATCAAATTCAAGTCCCACTGGGGAATAGGCTGCCTGACCTGGGGGTAGAGTCTGACTAGGCCCTTCAGGAAGTGCTTTACCATTGCATGGGTAATGACAGAGCCTCCCCCTTCCTTCGGCTGAAAGGCGCGATGGCTGCCAGGTGTACCCTCACCGAAGAGGTAGACAGCTCCTGCTGCCTGCAGTTGAGCAAATAATCCAGGATCAGAGGGATGAGGGCCCATAGGGGATCCCTCCCCTTCTGAGCAACCCGAGTCGAGAACCTCCTGCATTTAGCCTGACAGGTTGCTTCCTATTTTCCATCAGTACCCGACCGGGTCTGAACTGAGAAGCTCTGCACCCATGGATCGTCTAGGCCGGGAGGGGGAGGGACTGCAGATTTGAGTGGCACAGATGACCCTGATCCAGCTCCTTGGGTTAAGAGGTCTGGCACGAGCGGGAGAGCACTGGGGGCCTCCACTGATAGTGACATCAGGGTGGTGTACTAGTGCTGGCTCCGTATCTCCACACCCGCAGGAGAACCTTGTGTATGAGGGGAAAGGGGGGAAGGGGTACAGAATGTCACCGCATGACAGCACCCGGGACATTGGCCCCCATTTGAGCAGAACTGGGCACATTCCCGGTTGTTCTGTGAAGTGAACAGATAAAGGAGGCCGTTCCCCACTGTGGAAGAGATGGTGCATCACCTCCTCCTTGAGCGAGCACTCGTGGGCCGAGAACGCACTGCTGAGCCAGTCTGCCAGGGCGTTGCGCAAGGGTGGGTAAGAGGCTGCCAGCAGGCCAGCTCCAGCCCACAGCTGCCTCACTGGGTCCCTGACGCACAGCGCAGGGGCAGCCACTTTACATGTGGCTGCTCTATTCTGGGAGCGAGGAAGGAGGCTTTGTGCTCTGTCCCACCCCTCAGCAAAATCTCTCAGCTCCCATTGGCCAGTTTCTTACCATTAGTAGCTGAGATATTTTGCTGGTGGCAGGGACAGCCAATGAAACATCCTTCTTCCCTCCCCCCTACTCCTTCACCCTGCCCGGAGAAGAGCGACGTGGAGCAGCTTGTGACTGCAGCCTTCAGTAAGCACCTCCCAGCCAGAGTCTGCCTCTGGCACCTCCCTTCCCCCCTAGCTGCCCCAGGTCACCACCCAAACCCTCTGTACGCCTTTCCCCCAGGTGACAACTCCCTCCCAGACCCTGCACCCTCTCCTACACCCTTCCCCCAGGCCAGAATCCAGCCTGGCACCTATATCCCCTTTCTGACCCTGCACCCCATTCCCCTGCCCTATGTCATACCCAAACCCTCTGCACCCCTCCCCCAAGTCACAACTCCCTCCCAGACCCTGCACCCCTGCCTAGAACCCCTCCCTCAGGCAAGAATCCTCTCCTGCACCCATGCTCCCTCCTGAACTCTGCACCCCAAGCCTCTGCCCCAGATCACAACCCCCCTCCTTCAACCAAACTCCCCCTCAGACTCCACACCCCCTCCTGTACTCCAGTCTCCTACCTCAAGCTCTCTTCTGCAGCCAACCTCTGCCCCAGGCCCCAGCCCCTCTCCGCTGTGGGGGCTGAGGTCAGCACACAGCCCCATGAAAGTGGCTTTCCTCATCATGCATGTTGCTCAGAGTCATGGTCTTTTGGAGCAGGGTATGATTAATGGCCTCAAACACATCCATCAACACATGCCCAATGGTCAACTTTCCCGCTCCAAACTGATCAGTAGCTGTCTAGAGTGGCCAGCTTCCACAATGCAATTGCCACATGCTTCTCCACTGGCAAGGCAGCTTTCATTCATGGGTCCTTGCGTCGTGGGGGTGGGGGTTGAGGTCAGCACACAACCCCATGAAAGTGGCTTTCCTCATCCAAAAGTTCTGCAGTCCCTGCTCATCATCTCAGGCTTGTATGACAACGTGATCCCACCACTGAGTGCTTGTTTCTGAACCCCGAAGAGATGTTCCACTGTGGTCAGTTTGCAGCTTAAGGAACAACTTGACTGCCATTTGTGACGTGTAAATGAGATCGATCAGCATTTTCTCCAACAGTTCGGGATCCATTCCTGCAGATCAAGGAGACAGAGTGTGCAGGATGAAAGCCGTTGAAAGATAGCGCCCAATGCAGATGGAAGCGCATGGGTTTCTGGGATGTGAAGCGATGCACTATGGGGCAAGGGGTCAGGACCTAGGATGCCTCAACGCCTGCCCCTGCCTTCCCACAAGCCTCAGTGACAGACAAGGAAGAGCTGCTCTGTGGGATAGCGGTGCAGAGTGCACCGCTCCAAATGCCACTGCAAGTGCTACGAGAGCGGTTGTGCTACTACTCAGGCACCTGACAGCGTGGACACCCAGGGCAGCACTGGAACTGCCAGTGCCTTACATCTGCCAGTGCTGACACAGTCTCAATTTGCAGTACGGAGCTGCTCTTCTCAATATGTCCAGCTATGGTCTTGATCTGGTTAGCACTATCCTCTCCTGCCATCAGCGTGATTTGGGCTGTTAGTACTAGCACTCGGGTTGAAGCAATAACCCTTCTCTACCTCACTCGGTGATTGCTCTTTGGTTGCACCAATGACATGAAAGTTGGGCATGCAAATATATAGTGCAGGCTAGCATTACACAGCAGATATAAACTGTAGCCCTGTTCTTCACATCCATGTGGGATTGGCATCAATTTCTATATGGCTCTTCTCCTCCTAACTTGAAGAAGCTACTTGATTAAGTCCAAAAACACAGACCAAGATCAGCTCAGTCTTATGTTTTTATGCCAGTCAATATATATAGAATTCTACAGTCTACTGTAAGAGTGAAAATCATTTTTGTTAGAGCAAGAAGAGGAGGAAATATTTTACTTATTTTGTATTTTAAGAGGAACAAAAGCAAAAAAGCAAGCACCTTAGGCAGGTTAAAATTAAAGGCATTAGCAGAACAGCTCAAATGCAGAGATTAGCAGCAGCTACTGTGAAAAAAATCAAAAGAACCAAGAAAATTTCTGCAATTTCAGCATGCAAGAACAGAAGAGTGAATAATTCAAATTTATCCCTCCTCTAAAGTACTTTGGTCTTTTCTTTATTCCTTCCATAAGGAATGCTGCCCCACAAAAGCTCATCACCTAATAAACTATCTTGTTAGTCTACATCATTTTTTTTCTTCTGTTTTACCAAGATCAGACTAACATGGCTACCTCTCTATTACTTATTATGTAGTAACAACAGCATCAACAGTCACCAAAGAGAACTACTCATGTGGCAGAAAAAGACTCAAATAAAGACTGATTCATAAGCAAACCACAAAATCTATTATTAACTCCTGCTGTCCTCATCCCACACACATCCTCCACCCACCGAAACGAGATACAGAGTAACTCTTTGAATACACTAATGTATTCCACATGTGATTGGGAACCAGGGGCTCTAACGCTAAGGTCATCTTACACTATGAGATAAGGTTGAATTTATTAAGGTCTATTTCTGGTCACCCAATTTTGTAAAGTCAAAGGTCCATGTCCCCACTGTGCACAAGAATTCAACACAGTTCGAAGTAGTGTGTCCCAAGTAGGGAGATCACCATCAACTTTGAGAGATGCAGTGTGGGTTAAGGGATAAATCTTGGTCAATCTAGCCAACTACTCTCTTCCCCCCTTCCCCCCTGCTGCCTCTGTATCAGAGGCAGTAAGGGGGGAGGCAGGAGCTAGTGCTGAGGGGAGCCGGTAACTCCAGCACCAGCTCCTCAATGCCACCTGGCCTCCCCCCTCTGTGCTGCTGCTTCTATTAGAGGCAGCAGCACAGGTGGGGAGGCAGGGGGGGGCGCCCGGGAGGCTGGGGGCTGG